TCGAATGTAAGCAGGATTTCGAGGGTATGTGTAATGACCAAAAATGGTTATAATTGACCCCTGTAATTAAATATAATTTTTGTAGTGTGATTTTAAATATTTCAATTTCATCTAAAAATTTCCAGTACCTACTCGAATTTTTTTCTCGAAAATGCGTAGGATTTCGGGGTTATGTCTATTCACCAAAAATGATTGTAATTGCCCCTTGTAACTGAACATAATTTTTTTAGTGTGATTTTAAATAATTTTGAACTGCTACTGCGCACAACGCATGCGCAGATGGTATAGAAACGATTATATCGTCCAATCTTGACGCAAGCAAACCGAGTGTTTTAAAATCACATTTGATTCGAAATGAACGTTTAAAATGGAAAATTATAACGAATTTTACAATGATTTGAAATTTTGTTTTTTTCGCTAAAAAATTTCACATTTTCTCAAATTTTTTTCTCGAATGTAAGCAGGATTTCGAGGGTATGTCTAACGACCAAAAATGGTTGTAATTGACCCCTGTAACTAAATATAATTTTTGTAGTGTGATTTTAAATATTTTAATTTCATCTAAAAATTTCCAGTATCTACTCGAATTTTTTTCTCGATAATGCATAGGATTTCGGGGTTATGTCTATTCACCAAAAATGATTGTAATTGCCCCTTGTAACTGAACATAATTTTTTTAGTGTGATTTCAAATAATTTTGAACCGCTACTGCGCACAACGCATGCGCAGATGGTATAGAAACGATTATATCGTCCAATCTTGACGCAAGCAAATCGAGTGTTTTAAAATCACATTTGATTCGAAATGAATGTTTAAAATGGAAAATTATAACGAATCTTACAATGATTTGAAATTTTGTTTTTTTCGCTAAAAAATTTCACATTTTCTCAAATTTTTTTCTCGAATGTAAGCAGGATTTCGAGGGTATGCCTAACGACCAAAAATGGTTGTAATTGACCCCTGTAACTAAATATAATTTTTGTAGTGTGATTTTAAATATTTTAATTTCATCTAAAAATTTCCAGTATCTACTCGAATTTTTTTCTCGAAAATGCGTAGGATTTCGGGGTTATGTCTATTCACCAAAAATGATTGTAATTGCCCCTTGTAACTGAACATAATTTTTTTAGTGTGATTTCAAATAATTTTGAACCGCTACTGCGCACAACGCATGCGCAGATGGTATAGAAACGATTATATCGTCCAATCTTGACGCAAGCAAACCGAGTGTTTTAAAATCACATTTGATTCGAAATGAACGTTTAAAATGGAAAATTATAACGAATTTTAAATCAGTAATTTAACTCTTAAACTCTTATAGAAAAGAGTTCAGTAAATATGCGATATTTTATCATTGTAACCTATAATAAGTAGACTGCGGATCTTTATGCAAATTCATATTTTTATTAGAGACTAACTATTCTTATTATTGAATAACTTTTTTTTATACCGTAAGGCTATTTCATAAGAATTTCATTGTGATTCATTTTGAGATATGACTATAGTCAATTTTTACTATCCTATTAATAGAATTGATGAAATCAGAGCTTTATAGAACTCCGTCTGAACCCTTAACCCCTTAACGCTCATATTTTTCGGGTTAACCAACAATGATCAGTTTTCTTTTATGGATTTGTTTCTAAAAATACGGTCTTTGTTAATTACAATGTTGTATCTAACGTATAATTTAAAGGAAAGCAAATATTATCATCCCTTAAACCGTTGGGCTAAACAAATATTGTTTTTCAAAGCAGTCAGGCTCGGGCATGAACGTTAAGGGGTTGAATATAGTAATTCGTATCTTACTTTAAGTATTTCTTATATTTTTGCATATTAAGTGCGTTCTGTAGTTTCTTGAGAATTAATATTCCCCACAAATGCATAAACATCCGCTACTAATAAGGTATGAAAGTGTCGAAGCTATTTTATACAAAAATATTATCAAAATGGTGGCCAAACTGTTAGAATATATAAAAAATAGATCAGATAATAAGGTATGAAAGTGACGAAGCTATTTTATACAAAAATATTGACAATATGATGGCCAAACTGTTAGAATATATAAAAAATAGATCAGATAATAAGGTATGTTAGTGACGAAGCTATTTTGTACAGAAATATTGACAAAATGGTGGCCAAACTGTTAGAATATATAAAAAATAGATCAGATAATAAGGTATGTTAGTGACGAAGCTATTTTGTACAAAAATATTGACAAGATGGTGGCCAAACTGTTAGAATATATAAAAAATAGATCCGTTTACGCTTGTAATTATTCTTTTGCTTATCGAAACAATGAAAAAATAAAAGAATACTATTTATGAATGAAAAGTAATGTCAATCATTCGTTTCAGTATAATATTCAAAATTAAAATTATATTTCGTTATAGGGGTCAATTACAACCATTTTTGGTAATTACAGATACCCCCGAAATCCCACCCACTTTCGAGAAAAAAAATCGTGTAAATGCTGAAATTTTTCGGGCGAAAAAAAATTGTTCAAATCATTTTGGAAAAATTATGTTCGGTTGCGGGGGTCAATTGCAATCATTTTTGGTCAACAGACATATCCCCGAAATCCTACTCAGTTTCGAGGAAAAGATTCCTTAGCGAAATAATAATTTCTGGCCCAGAAATGTCTGCTCGATTTTTCATGCGTATCTTTAAAATATCGTAACTTCTGAACGGATTAGAGGATTTTAATGTTTCAAACGGCAAACAGCGCGTAGTTTGATAAAGATTATGTAGAAATTCTAACAATATTGAAAAAGTTGTTTCTTGACCCCGTAAAGTTAAAAAAAAACCCATAAAAATGGTCCCAATATTCGAACTGCCATAATTCCTACAAGGGTGAATATCTTTAAACGAAACTTTTTTCTAAAGTAGAGTTCATGCGTATCTACGATAAAGTATTAGATAACTTTTCTATAGGGCGTCAAACAAAATTACTAAAAATGAAAAACGAATTTTTAAGAAAAATCGATGGTGCCTTTTCTCGGCGAAAGTAAAAAATTTCAAATGTTTCTGGAAAAATTATTTTTGGCTGTGGGGGTCAATTGCAATCAGTTTTGGTCATTAGACATAACCCCGAAATCCTACGCATTTTCGAGAAAAAAATTCAGTGAGGGTGGAACTTTAAACGTTAATAACTTTTTAACGAAGCCTCCATCAACAAATTGGTATTCTTGATTTTCGTCTTATTTTGGCCTCCAGAATCCCCCATTAAAATTTTTCCCAGGGTTGATACCTCGCCCGTAGCAGTACTGCGATGTCACCGCCAGGTGGCGAAGCTTCTCGAGCGCTTTCTCGCGAGAGAATTGCATCATCGCGGATATACATGTCAGGACGATCGTCTGGCCATAAATTGCTTTTGCGCAAGGTCTAACGAAGAACGATTAGAAGTTTTTGAATTTAATTGTTAATAATTTTAACAAATTCAACAAATTGGTATTCTTGATTTTCGTCTTATTTTGCCCTCCAGAATCCCCCATTAAAATTTTTCCCAGGGGTGGTCGAACACCCTGTATGTAACACGTTCGTAACTTATCAGAGATTTTTTTCCATATAATGTTGAGGCAATGAAACTCAAATTTTATCCCATAAATACTTGTATATTATTGCTTACATTTAATCGCGTGAATGAAGTTTAATACATTCCAAAGATATATACTGAAAAGTTAAGCCCATGTAACCACAATGAAACGTAATAACAGTCTATCGATAATTTTGTGTCTTCTGGCCGAGGTAGCCACGAAATACACACTTTTATAATCTGAATATAAAGGTATATTTAACACTAGATTTACGGAAGCCGTCAATTTGACGGATTCCATATTTAAAATTGCAGAACGCGTAAATATTACTTTTTAACAACTCATGTTCAATTTGTTCGATGCAATGGCACGAATACATATTCCAATTAAAAGAAAAATCGCATTTTAAGGTAATCGTCAACATGAAAGGTATCAATAAATATGCGTGCGATCAGTGCTCGTAAATCTAGTGTTAAACTCGAAACACAATTAATTATTCAACTTACAACGGACAAGACATAACCTAAACAGTTGCTACTCTGCTAACCGCCATATAGCACACTGCTTGGCTCTACTCCCCCCTCCCCGCCGCCCCCCAGGCGTTGCCAGATTCTTGGCAGTGTTGCCAATGAAAACAATACAACGAAGTCGTAGCTAAAATCGTTTATCGTTTAGGTGACAGTAATTGGTTAGGTTATTTCACCGTGGTAACAGAAGGACGTTTTCTGTGCAAAAACTTGCAGAAATTCCAAAGAAAATAATGATTGAAACTGCTATGGTGGACAGTTAGTCGCGAATTGTGTGTCGATTTTTGGAATATTCAATTTAAGGTTAGATTTCGTTCCGTGTGTGAGCACGTTTTAACAAAAATACTTTAACGATACAAATCGACTGCTGAAGCGAGGAGAAACAGGAATAAATAATTAATAAGATTATTTATGCATACCTCGCGCACACGCTCTCTCTTTCTCTCCTTCTCTTCGCGTGCGCGCGCACGCGTTGCTACACGGTACATATGCATTTATCCCGCCACAAAAACTCAAATTTTTGTTTAAGCTATTGATGTTACGGCAAAAATGTATTGGACTTTTGTGCTCCCCTCTTCGAGACCTACAATTTACGTCGATCCGACAACTTCGAAATTTTAAACTTTAAGGCCATTTTTTTAACAAAATGGCTGGCCATAAACGTCTAGTATTTTACAGAATGCGTTTGGACATCAGCCCCAATAACTCTGCCAAATTTGGTTGAAATCCCAGGTTGACAGGGTATGACCTCCCCTTGTTAGTCTCTAATCGCGCGAATATTCAAATTGTTCGTTCGCAGCCTTTCGCCACACGCGAGTGGTGAATTATTTTCGTATCGGGAAGGAAGTAAACGGAACGATCGCGAAGGCTTGGGTACTGCTTCCTGCGGAAGCCTTTTTTTGAAACCCGGAGACGCATTTATCAATTGTGGTGGTGGTAGTGGTGTTCCAGAAAGAAACGAGGGGCTGTGAAAACAACTGCGGCAGATGTGGACTCTTGGCACGCGCCCTTCTGTTCATCAGTGGTGCTCATTCCTCCGCAGGAGCCACGAACTACGTTTACTTCGAGGTAAAATCAACAAAATTATTATTATGTTGACTCCAAGTTCTCTGTACAATGGTTTATGCATTTACGTGGGCACGAAAATGTATGTTAAACTTTTGCAAAACACAGCATCACGGTATTATTTTTTTTTTTTTTTTTATTGATATTAAATTACATTTACAACTAGCTTCATTGAGCTAACCAGCAAAGGGTATAGCCAAATAAGGGAGTCAAATGTGCCCTTGAACCAAATGTGACATACGATGGATCTATCGATAGAGCATCAAGAAAAAACGTTCTGTGCCAAATTTTAACCCTCTATTTTGTTTAGAAGGGTAGTTATTGAGAAAATTCGGATTAACGAATTTCTGCCTATTTCCCCTATTTAATCGAGTACAAAAATTATGAAAAAAATCTGGTGCATTGTGGTTATCGAGATACGTGTTTGAGAATTTTTTTCGATTTTTCGATTCCAAATCCTAGGTGTGAAAAATTGAGAACGCAAAAAAACACAGAAAAATACCGATTTCGTATTGAAGCTTTCGAGACACTAGATTTCTATAATTACTGTAAATGCGTATTGTCATTGGCTATCTCCCTGAATTTTTTCCGATTTTTCGATTCCAAATCCTGGGCGTGAAAAATTAAAAACGCAGAAAAATACCGATTTCGTATTGAAGCTTTCGAGACACTAGATTTCTATAATTACTGTAAATGCGTATTGTCATTGGTTATCTCCCTGAATTTTTTCCGATTTTTCGATTCCAAATCCTGGGCGTGAAAAATTAAAAACGCAGAAAAATACCGATTTCGTATTGAAGCTTTCGAGACACTAGATTTCTATAATTACTGTAAATGCGTATTGTCATTGGCTATCTCCCTGAATTTTTTCCGATTTTTCGATTCCAAATCCTGGGCGTGAAAAATTAAAAACGCAGAAAAATACCGATTTCGTATTGAAGCTTTCGAGACACTAGATTTCTATAATTACTGTAAATGCGTATTGTCATTGGCTATCTCCCTGAATTTTTTCCGATTTTTCGATTCCAAATCCTGGGCGTGAAAAATTAAAAACGCAGAAAAATACCGATTTCGTATTGAATCATTCGAGACACTAGATTTATATAATTACTGTAAATGCGTATTGTCATTGGCTATCTCCCTGAATTTTTTCAGATTTTTTGATTCCAAATCCTGGGCGTGAAAAATTAAAAACGCAGAAAAATACCGATTTCGTATTGAAGCTTTCGAGACACTAGATTTCTATAATTACTGTAAATGCGTATTGTCATTGGCTATCTCCCTGAATTTTTTCCGATTTTTCGATTCCAAATCCTGGGCGTGAAAAATTAAAAACGCAGAAAAATACCGATTTCGTATTGAAGCTTTCGAGACACTAGATTTCTATAATTACTGTAAATGCGTATTGTCATTGGCTATCTCCCTGAATTTTTTCAGATTTTTTGATTCCAAATCCTGGGCGTGAAAAATTAAAAACGCAGAAAAATACCGATTTCGTATCGAAGCTTTCGAGACACTAGATTTATATAATTACTGTAAATGCGTATTGTCATTGGTTATCTCCCTGAATTATTTCCGATTTTTCGATTCCAAATCCTGGGCGTGAAAAATTAAAATCGCAGAAAAATACCGATTTCGTATTGAATCATTCGAGACACTAGATTTCTATAATTACTGTAAATGCGTATTGTCATTGGTTATCTCCCTGAATTTTTTCCGATTTTTTGGTATGGTGCGCCGTAGTAGGAAAAATCAAAAACCGATTTTTTCGACGTTTTTCGCGTGAAAAAGCATCCTATACTTTGAATTTTTGTATTCTCTTTAATAGATAACTATATTGTATGGTTTTAAACATTTATAATTATATATCTAATTATACTTCAAAGTATAAGTTGCTTTTTCACGCGAAAAACGCCGAAAAAATCGGTTTTTCATTTATGCTACTACGGCGCACCCTGCTAAAAAATCTGAAAAAATTCAGGGACATAACCAATGACAATATGCATTTACAGTAATTATATAAGTCTAGTGTCTCGAAAGCTTCAATACGAAATCGGTATTTTTCTGCGTTTTTTTGCGTTTTTAATTTTTCACACGTAGGATTTGAAATCGAAAAATCGGAAAAAATTCTCAAACACGTATCTCAATAGTCGCAATGCACCAGATTTTTTTTCATAATTTTTCTACTCGATTAAATAGGGGAAATAGGCAGAGATTCGTTAATCCGAATTTTCTCAATAACTACCCTTCCAAACAAGATAGAGGGTTAAAATTTGGCACAGAACGTTTTTTCTTGGTGCTCTATCGATGGATCCATCGTATGTCACATTTGGTTCAAGGGCACATTTGACCCCCTTATTCGGCTATACCCTTTGATGAAAATCAACAAAATTATTATTATGCTCGATGGTGACCCCAAGTTCCCTTTACAATTGTTTATGCATTTACGTGGGCACGAAGATGTATGTTAAACTTTTGCAAAACGCCAGTATCACAGTATTATTATTTTGTAGTTGTAATTTTTAATAGTGAAGTTTTAATAATTATAATAATGAAGGCACTACGAAGCACATTTCTTATGTTATCTCATTCTTGTTTCTTAACACGTATTCTGTGCTACATGTACTTACGTATGTCAGCGCTGCTGCCGTTCGATGGGTTTATATACAACGTGATACAGTACTATATCATAACATAATTTTAATTCTTACTTCAACACATTACACGTGTTAATTTATGGGAAAATTGATTTAACACGGGACGGTAACTTTTTGGTAACTTTCAGCGCTCGTTGCTCGTAAGTCGAAAACCAATCGAGTAAAAGTGTCTTATTTCGAATCGAGGAGATATTAGATTCCTCCATTTTGATATCTTGCAGTTTTTTACTTCAATGTTTAACGTGGTAACGGAGAATTAATTCACAGTAAAACAGTGGATCTCAGTTAAATTGGACCACTTAAATATTTACCTTGTTTATTATCATTTGGAAAAATTTTTTAGGACAAAGTTGTAGTATTTCGAGCGGCATATACGTACGTATAATGACGGAATTAATTTTTTCGCGAGATTATTTTTCAAGGTTATCGGAATTTTACATTTATTTCGACATACAGCATAAATAAACAAATTTGAGCTTAATAATCGTATACTTTAAATATCGAAAAATGAATTACAAACTCATGATAAATTGTTGTATTAGTTCTACATATATTAACTTATTATATTACAGTAGAACGTCGATTATCGAAACTAATAGGAAAACTTTTTCAGGCAAACCAAAATTACAACTATGAAATAAAATAATTTTGATTGTATGAAAGAACATATAACAACATAACAGCAAACATAATATAAAAAGTAAATTAAGAATTCTTGAATTTATTTAAGTTTTGTATTACTTGTAAAAGAAATATTTGAAAGGCTATACTATATTTCTTTTATTTTTTTCGATCTAATTGTTTGTTCTTTGCTGCTAATAACAAAATTGAAATATAATTCGGGGTGCAAATGGTTAAATTGTTGTTGCACTGAGAAACACAGAAACAGATAAGAAACGAAATTTGTTTACATAGATTATTACACATTTTTACATTTTACATATTCTGTCATACGCTTATATTAATCTATTTAATTTAATAATATTCTATACATATATATATACAGAATTGTTAATGCTAAATGAGTGTAATCATAGTTTCTCACTGTTCTACGATTGTATTCACTGTATAAAGTTTCGGTTGGTATCACAGGATGTAACTCGATACAGTTGACTTCCGCGCACGCGCGTGGACGCTCGGGAATAATAATCTGTTGCGCGCGCAACCATCGACCGATCGAAATTCAATAAATGAAATGAAAAACAAACGATTCCTTCAGGCAAAAGTGGTCAGAATTTTATTCGAACCATAAACGATGAATAAATAACTCACTTTAGCAATTTATTCGCAATTTTTATCCAATCGAACAATTATTCATTATTGGAACAATTTTTATTTTTAGAGATGCGTTGAAGCCTGATTTTTAGCTTCGTGAAGGTCGAATCCAAAACTTTGCAGTCTCAAAATTCTTGAAATTCGAAATTCCCAAAACACGGAATGCTTATTTTAAAAATTCTTTTCTAAAGAGTATCTTGTATTTTATCAGGAATAAATAACTCACTTTAGCAATTTATTCGCAATTTTTATCCAATCGAACAATTATTCATTATTGGAACAATTTTTATTTTTGGAGATGCGTTGAAGCCTGATTTTTAGCTTCGTGAAGGTCGAATCCAAAACTTTGTAGTCTCAAAATTCTTGAAATTCGAAATTCCTGAAACACGGAATGCTTATTTTAAAAATTCTTTTCTAAAGAGTATCTTGTATTTTATCAGGAATAAATAACTCACTTTAGCAATTTATTCGCAATTTTTATCCAATCGAACAATTATTCATTATTGGAACAATTTTTATTTTTAGAGATGGGTTGAAGCCTGATTTTTAGCTTCGTGAAGGTCGAATCCAAAACTTTGTAGTCCCAAAATTCTTGAAATTCGAAATTCCCAAAACACGGAATGCTTATTTTAAAAATTCTTTTCTAAAGAGTATCTTGTATTTTATCAGGAATAAATAACTCACTTTAGCAATTTATTCGCAATTTTTATCCAATCGAACAATTATTCATTATTGGAACAATTTTTATTTTTGGAGATGCGTTGAAGCCTGATTTTTAGCTTCGTGAAGGTCGAATCCAAAACTTTGTAGTCTCAAAATTCTTGAAATTCGAAATCCCCGAAACACGGAATGCTTATTTTAAAAATTCTTTTCTAAAGAGTATCTTGTATTTTATCAGGAATAAATAACTCACTTTAGCAATTTATTCGCAATTTTTATCCAATCGAACAATTATTCATTATTGGAACAATTTTTATTTTTAGAGATGGGTTGAAGCCTGATTTTTAGCTTCGTGAAGGTCGAATCCAAAACTTTGTAGTCCCAAAATTCTTGAAATTCGAAATTCCCGAAACACGGAATTTAACACTTATTTTAAAAATTTTTTTCTAAAAAGTATCTTGTATTTTACCAAGAACTAAAATCTTAACAAAGTAAAATAATTACACAAAAATTAAATGAAAATTATAATGTAAATGAACGAGTAACCAAAGAAAATTTCATGCAATAATTATTTTCAACAAATCCAACATTGTCAAAATATCTTATTTTCCTAGATAACCAAATATAGCGGATGTCAAAAATATTACAGCAGTCAATTCCAATAAAAACTTTATAAAACTTCGTTTATATTCGTTTCATATTCTCAGAAATTTCATTAAAAATAAATTGTTTATTTATATTTTCTATGAAAATATTAGCAAAAGTCTTGAATGTGTAATAACTATTCGTTACAAATAAATTAAAAAATTTATATGAAAAATATGACTTACAAATTGTATTTTGAGACTGCAATAGTTTAATCTTATTTTTAAACTTGCAGTATGTGTTTTTGAAATATACATCGATTTCTTAATGATTACAACATCCACCGTATTCACCGGATCTAGTGACTTTTTTTTTTTATTTCCAAACTTTAAAAAATGGCTCGTCACCGCCCAAACAGATACCCATTTTGAGGGCTTTCCAGAAATTTTATTTTTCAGATGGCTCAAAACAGTTGTAAAAACGCTTAAAAAACTATATACAACTAAAAGGAAATTACGTTGTAAAATAACGAAAAAAAATCTACCTAAAATAATTTGATTCAGTGACTTTTTTTTATTTCCAAACTTTAAAAAATGGCTCGTCACAAACAGATGTCCATTTTGATAACCTCCAAAAATTTTATTTTTTAGATGCCTCGAAATAGTTGTAGAAACGCTTAAAAAAAGTGTATAGAACTAAAAGGAGATTATGTTGTAAAATAACAAAAAAAAATCTACCTAAAATAATTAGTTTCTCTATCTTTTTCTAGGGATTTCTTAAACGACCCTTGGTATCGAAACGCGCATGCGCCATCAGTTTCTGGACCGCGAGCGTAGAATTTAGGTAAGTGCTTCTTAATAACCCATAAATCGGATCATCGCCTGCCGCGATGTTTTCTCTTGATCGAATTAATTGGCCCTCCTCCGAAAACCAGTTTCACCGGATGGGCGTCGAGTTCGCGTCGAATTCTACTCGTTGGTCCTCCGTGTATACATATACATATACATATACTTCTTCGATAAAGACATTTTTTGAAAATATCTCGAGATCTGATAATTTTTTTGCCATGGTACCCCAATCATTTTTTACGCAGAATGAACGGAAGAATCGATCTGTGTAAAAAAAAATATGCATTTCTATTTAAAGAAATGATGCAATTGTTAATTGCACATGCATCGCTGCATTTGAAAAAAATTTAAAGGCCTACGGATGTAGTGCTCTTCGAACCATTTATCTTTCTCCTTTTGGAATTTTTTCGTAAATGCAATAATAACGGGGTTATGACTTGAAACAATTGCGTGGACCACCCTATACATATAGATATACTTCTTCGATAAAGACTTTTTTTTTAAATATCTCGAGATCTGATAATTTTTTTGCCATGGTACCCCAATCATTTTTCACGCAGAATGAACGGAAGAATCGATCTGTGTAAAAAAAAATATGCATTTCTATTTAAAGAAATGATGCAATTGTTAATTGCACATGCACCGCTGCATCTAAAAAAAATTCAAAGGCCTACAGATGTAGTGCTCTTCGAACCATTTATCTTCCTCCTTTTGGCATTTTTTCGTAAATGCAATAATAACGGGGTTATGACTTGAAACAATTGCGTGGACCACCCTATACATATAGATATACTTCTTCGATAAAGACATTTTTTTTAAATATCTCGAGATCTGATAATTTTTTTGCCATGGTACCCCAATCATTTTTTACGCAGGATGAACAGAAGAATCGATCTGTGTAAAAAAAAATATGCATTTCTATTTAAAGAAATGATGCAATTGTTAATTGCACATGCACCGCTGCATCTAAAAAAAATTCAAAGGCCTACAGATGTAGTGCTCTTCGAACCATTTATCTTTCTCCTTTTGGAATTTTTTCGTAAATGCAATAATAACGGGGTTATGACTTGAAACAATTGCGTGGACCACCCTATACATATAGATATACTTCTTCGATAAAGACTTTTTTTTTAAATATCTCGAGATCTGATAATTTTTTTGCCATGGTACCCCAATCATTTTTCACGCAGAATGAACGGAAGAATCGATCTGTGTAAAAAAAAATATGCATTTCTATTTAAAGAAATGATGCAATTGTTAATTGCACATGCACCGCTGCATTTGAAAAAAATTTAAAGGCCTACGGATGTAGTGCTCTTCGAGCCATTTATCTTCCTCCTTTTGGCATTTTTTCGTAAATGCAATAATAACGGGGTTATGACTTGAAACAATTGCGTGGACCACCCTATACATATAGATATACTTCTTCGATAAAGACATTTTTTGAAAATATCTCGAGATCTAATAATTTTTTTGCCATGGTACCCTAATCATTTTTCACGCAGAATGAACAGAAGAATCTATCTGTGTAAAAAAAATATGCATTTCTATTTAAAGAAATGATGCAATTGTTAATTGCACATGCATCGCTGCATTTGAAAAAAATTTAAAGGCCTACGGATGTAGTGCTCTTCGAACCATTTATCTTTCTCCTTTTGGCATTTTTTCGTAAATGCAATAATAACGGGGTTATGACTTGAAACAATTGCGTGGACCACCCTATACATATAGATATACTTCTTCGATAAAGACTTTTTTTTTAAATATCTCGAGATCTGATAATTTTTTTGCCATGGTACCCCAATCATTTTTTACGCAGAATGAACAGAAGAATCGATCTGTGTAAAAAAAAATATGCATTTCTATTTAAAGAAATGATGCAATTGTTAATTGCACATGCACCGCTGCATCTAAAAAAAATTTAAAGGCCTACGGATGTAGTGCTCTTCGAACCATTTATCTTCCTCCTTTTGGCATTTTTTCGTAAATGCAATAATAACGGGGTTATGACTTGAAACAATTGCGTGGACCACCCTGTATACATATATTTCAACATTGAGCAGGAAATCGTACAGAGGAGTCAATTTTCTCGGAATTCCCGTCGTTCAGGTATCGCGTATTGTCGGAGCGACGAGAATTCTTTTATACGAAAAGATACGCGCGTACAGATGCAACCGTCGTCCAGGTCGCTGCATTATTTCTTTGTTCGCGAGAATCCAAGGATCGATAGGGATTCGTGCCAAAAGGGACCTTCCGTTTTCTACAACAATAAATTGTAAATTCCTCGGGAACGACTAGAATGGCGAAAACACGCTGGCCGCCATTTTGTAGGTTTCTAAGGTTTTGCGTTCTGGTCGGAATACTTAATGGTTGTACAGGGTGTTGCAAATTTGGTTCGAAGTTTTGAGAAGTAATTAGGTCGTTAGATACCATTTCATTGTTGTTATTTTGTTATTAAATGCTTTGTTACTTGAAACGTTCTATTTCTATTGTATGTTGAGCACATAACCTTGTTATTATAGACGGTGAACAACACTTTGTTATTATATGTATAAAGAAAAAATCTTCATAACAGTGACCTTGACAACACATTTCAAGGTCATCGAAATCGGTGAAGAAAATATTTTCCACTTCTTTTTCGTGCAATAATAGCTAAATTGGAATAAATTAAAAAAGTACATAAATTAAAACATGTATTGTAATGCCTTTTACAAACACCAGAACAGATTGAAACAACAATAACATAACCTTACAAACGTGATTCAAAATGGAGGGAAGGCATCCACCAAATACATGTCGAAACGAAAAGATATTTTTTTCCTAACCTAGATACGACGTCAGTTTTTAACTGAAATAAACTCTAAATAAGGAACATTCTTTCAATTTTTAGTCGTTTTTACTTAAAAATCTGAGACCCAAAGAAGAGCAAAATTTTATCTAACCTTATTCTTATTACAATGTATGTATACATCACATTCATCATTAAAAATTTTAGGTTAAATCGTTATTTACTCATTGAAAAATATTTAACTCCGTAATGTAAATTTTCGTTCTTATTCGTTGAGTAACGGATAAATAAATGTTGATTGTAAATAGGAATCAACAATTCTAAACTTGAAATTAATTGTAATTAATCGCCCTTTGTTTCTTATTCTAAATATAATGTTTCTATTATACGTATTGATGAGATATTTACTGCAAAATTGAAATAAGAAAAATAAAATAAATTGCTGTATTATTTTCTTTTCAATTGCAAATTAATTAACAGTTATAACAACTACTTCAAATAACAATTGTAAATTGAAACTCATAAACAACTAAAAACAGATCTTCCACACTCGTTACCATACGTTGTTGTTATACTTATTTTACATTGCATTCAATACTTCATCGTTCAAAATACACTTTCAAATGCAAGAGCGTTGCTAGTATGACTTTGTCAGATACTGAACGTGAGAAACATTTTGTTAGAAACTTCTACGGTGGACTTTTTTGCATGTAGATTTAAAAATTATGCAGGTTTGCAAGTATTCATATAACGTACCAGGTACGAGTTGGTCCACAAACATAGCAACTAACGTATCTTGCAACTTTCCAGCACTGACTGTGATACGATTCAGTAGTTGTTCCAATCTTTTACGTTTATCAAACTTTTGATCATTTATTTGTTGAATATAAATATACTTTCCTATCGTAAATGTGTATTTTAAGGATGACTTTTGTAGGATTTAACGAAAAAGAATTGTATTTGGAAGAAATGTACAAATAATATAACTAAATGAATTTTAAATATAACAAGCACGCAATCTTTTTACACAAATCAAAATCTCAATTATCCACACAAATTCAAATCACTCGTTACTCTCTCTCCGTTGTCTCGCTGTCCCTGGCAACCCCTTCTTTTTTAACAAAACGCTCTCAACCCTTTTGCGCATAAGTTAACATTACTCCAAACTACAGCGTTACACAAATATCCTACATATATCAACCGCCTCCATATTGACTTTCTTCGCTAACAAATGCAAGGATATCGTCTAATCGCAACATAAATTACATTAAAAATTCATTTGTTTTTATTGTAACTTTGTGAAATTGTAAAATCGTACACTGTTGGTAACATTGGGAATCTGGTGAATCCCCAATTGTGTTTTAATTTGATCTATTTGATCTAGCAGCATTCTGACTGTTATATACGTTGTTCTGCCACAAAATCAATAAAAAATTTAATCTCAAACTTAAACACAAATCTCCGAACCAAACTACAGCGTGACACAAATATCCTACACTTTGTAGCATTTCTGTCAGGTCAGCGCTTGATTAATAGCATTAATAACATTGTAGTCGACTAGTTCTTCTAAACTTGGGAAATATCGAGGACTATTCTGCAATCAACATGGTCGAGACGCATAACAGGGTGAAACAAAACATAGGGGGAGATGTTTCTTGTATAATTTTATAATTATACTTTTTTAGATATCGTAAGTCATTTAAATATTAATTCTAATATTTTATAACTCCATTTTCTCTTTTAGAACTAATTGAAACGTCGAACATGAAATATTTTATTAAGAACTGTTTGCTTTAAACTGTTTCTCTGTTTCAAAAGCAGACGTCAGTTTTTCTGATTCGATTATAAATTATAAAATTAAATTGATGAAGTTTTACGATTCTTTCTACCACTCGAGTATGGTGAATCCATTAATTTTACAAGGAAACATGAAGCATGATTATTTTTAATCATTACTTTCAGCCTTAATACAAAAATTAGTAGATAAAATATTTAAAAAATGTGTTTAAAATAGAAGAAAATTAAAACTTCAAAGTTTCTGCGCCATCTCAAAAATTGTTAAGACAGAAACCAGCTTTTGCCAAGCCTAATTTAAGAGAATAAAAATAAGTTTTGTTCGCTGTTCATGAACAGTTAGAGAATTTTTATTTCTTCGTTTTAGTTTAATGTACTGTGTGTTTTATTCAAATGTGAGTAGTACATTTCGTAAAAAAATTTAATTTAATTTGTATACATTAGCAATAAAAATTGAATTTTAAATAAAATTCACATCTAAATCCACCCATCAATAATCAGTTATTTTGTTGCTGGATTTTAGACAACTATTCCATAAACATATTTTTAAACAAATTCCTTCGTGACAGAAAAAATTCAAATTTTGATTGCAAATCAATGATTTTTAAACATTTTGGGAAAAATATAAAAAAAAAAAAGAATTTTTAAGGATCCACAAAGAAAACATATTTCTTACGTTTATTTTAATTAATTTGCAATTACGATGTATTTATGAATCAGTAAATTTTTATTTTCGTTCCTTGAGGCCAAATAAAATTATTATTATTATTTTTGAGCTGTAAAATTTCTCAAATAAACATATAAATGTCATTCATTCGGATTATCGTTTAGCGAGTTAATGAAACGGTAAGAAAAATTCTTTTTTTTATCATTTTGGTTCTCAACATAATCACGATCATACTAATGAAAAATTCTTTTGATTTTTTCGTTTCAGATAAGCAGCCAGCCAATGGGGACGGTTTTTCTTAAAAATAACATCGTTCAATTACGTGTAATTAAGTAAGCTTTGATTATTGAAAAAAATTTTGAAAAAAATTTCGTAAAACATGAATAAATATGCAAAATGTCGAAATTGAGTTCGTAAAACATAAATAAATATGCAAAATGTCGAAATTAAGTTATATATAAGATATATATATAACTAATAATAATAAATAAGACGAAAATCAAGAATACTAATTTGTTGATGGAAGCTTCGTTAAAAAGTTATTAACAATTAAATTAAAAAATTTCAAATCGTTCTGGAAAAATTATTTTCGGTTGCGGGGGTCAACTACAATCATTTTTAGTCAATATACATATCCTCGAAATCCTAACCATTTTCGAGAAAAAAATTCCTTACTGAAAATATATTCTGTGGCCAGGAATGTCACTTCAGCGAATCTTTAAAAAATCATAACTTCTGAACGGATCGGACGATTTTAATGTTTCAAACGGCAAACAACGTGTATCTTAGTGAAGAATATGTACAAATTCTAACAATATTGAAAAAGTTGTTCTTCGACCTCGTAAAATTAGAAAAACCATCATAAAAATGGTCCAATTTTCGAACAGCCATAACTCCTACAATAGTGAATATATTTTGATAAAACTTTTTTCTGAAGTTAAGCCCATAGGTGCCTATAAAAAAGTATTAGTCAAAATTTCCGTAGGGCGTCAAACATAATTAATGAAAATCAAAAACCAATTTTTAAGAAAAATCGACAGTCTAAATTTTTCGGTGAAATTGAAAAGTTAAAATCACTCTGGAAAAATTATTTTCGATTACAGTAGTCGCTTATAGTCATTTTTGGTCATTAGACATACCCTCGAATTCTTACAAACTTTCGAAAAAAAAATTCGAGAAAGTGTGAAATTTTTCGACAAAACTAAAAAATTTCAAATCATTCTGAAAAAAAATATTTTTAGTTACAGGGGTCAATTACAATAATTTTTGGTGAATAGACATACCCACGAAATCCTACGCATAATCGAGAAAAAAATTCGAGAAGGTATGACATTTTTCGACAAAATTAAAATTTTCCAAATCGATCTAGAAAAATTATTTTCGGTTGCGGGGGTCAATTGCAATAATTTTTAGTGAATAGACATACCCCCGAAATCCTACGCATAATCGAGAAAAAAATTCGAGAAGGTATGACATTTTTCGACAAAATTAACATTTTCCAAATCGATCTAGAAAAATTATTTTCGGTTGCGGGGGTCAATTACAATAATTTTTGGTGAATAGACATACCCCCGAATTCCAACCCATTATCCAGAAAAAAATTCGAGAATATGTGAAATTTTTCGACAAAATTGAAAAATTTCAAATAATTCTAGAAAAATTATTTTCGGTTGCGGGGGTCAACTACAATCATTTTTGGTGGGTACACATACCTCCGAAATCCTATCTACTTTCGAGAAAAAAAATCGAGTAGGTGGTGAAATTTTTCGGCGAAAAAAAAATTTTTCAAATCGTTCTAAAAAAATTATTTTCGGTCGCGGGGATCAATTACAATCATTTTTTTATCATTACGCATACCTCCGAAATTGTACGCACTTTCGAGAAAAAAATTCCTTACTGAAAATCCAATTAGGGGTGCCTAAATTTTTCAACGGAGAAAAAAAATTGCAAATCGTTGTGGAAAAATTATTTTCGGTTGCGCGGGTCAATTACAATCATTTTCGGTCATTACACATACCCCCGAAATCTTGCGCATTTTCGAGAAAAAAAATCATGTAAATGCTGAAATTTTTCGGCGAAAAAAAATTGTTCAAATAATTTTGGAAAAATTATTTTCGGTTTCGGGGGTTAATTACAATCATTTTCGGTCATAACACGTACCCGCGAAATCTTACGCATTTTTGAGAAAAAAAATCGTGTAAATGCTGAAATTTTTCGGCGATAAAAAATTGTTCAAATCGTTTTAAAAAAATTATTTTCGGTAGCGGGGGTCGATTACAATCATTTTCGGTCATTACACGTACCCCCAAAATCCCACCCATTTTCGAGAAAAAAATCGAGTAAATTCTGAAATTTTTCGGCGAAAAAAAATTGTTCAAATCATTTTGGAAAAATTATGTTCGCCTGCGGGGGTCAATTACAATAATTTTTGGTCAACAGACATATCCCCGAAATCCTACTCACTTTCGAGAAAAAAATTCCTTAGTCTTAGAATCTTTAAAATATCATAACTTCTGAACGGATCAGAGGATTTTAATGTTTCAAGAGGCAAACAGCGAGTAGTTTGATAAAGAATATATAGAAATTCTAAGAATATTGAAAAAGTTGTTTCTTGACCCCGTAAAGTTAAAAAAACCTCCATAAAAATGGTCCAATATTCAAACTGCCATAATTCCTACAAGGGTGGATATCTTTAAATGAAACTTTTTTCTAAAGTAGAGTTCATGCGTATCTACGATAAAGTATTAGATAACTTTTCTATAGGGCGTCAAACAAAATTAATAAAAATTAAAAACAAGGAAAATCGACAGGGGTAGGTGCCTAAATTTTTCGAGGATATTAAAAAACTTCAAAGATTCTGAAAAAATTATTTTCGGTTGCGGGGGTCAATTACAATCAGTTTTTGTCATTAGACACGCCCACGAAATCCTGCCCACTTTCGAGAAAAAAAATAGAGAAGGTGTGAAATTATTCGAGAAAATTAAAAAATTGCAAATCGTTGCGGAAAAATTATTTTTGGTTGTAGGGTTCGATTACAGTCATTTTTGGTGAATATACATACCCCCGAAATCTTGCGCATTTTCGAGAAAAAAATTCAGTAAGGGCGGCGCTTTAAACGTTAATAATTTTTTAACGAAGCTTCCATCAACAAATTGGTATTCTTGATTTTCGTCTTATTTTGGCCTCTACTATCGCTCATTAAAATTTTTGCTAGAGGTGGCCGAACACCCTGTGTACAAGTTTCTATCGTTACAACAGGTGGCCATCTTGAATAATACCATTATTTGTTCATTCGTCATTCGCAGTGAAAATAAACTCAGACAAATTAAAAATTTTGCTCACAAAAGAATAAAAAGCATGAAAGTAAAAATCGTTATTTAATATTTGACTTTTATATTTCGAAAAATGCACTTTGGTTACCAAAGCACCCAAACTTAATGAACAAAAATTAGATTAAATTAAATTTAAAGCGTACTTCCTTCTTGCTGTGCAGTGTAACGAATTTGTAAAATTCTATTGTAAAATAGCGAAAAATACTTGGTAAAAAGATCGTGCTAAAATACTTGGTACTCCCATCGCGAAGAACTATGGCGCCCGGCAGGAAATTAGACGGAAGAACTCGACTGGCGTTTTAGTATTCCAGCAGCGAAATTATTCGTCCTCTGCGTGGGTTATTTACCAGAAGAGACACACACACACACACACACACACACACACACACACACACGGTATCGGCTTAGAAATCTCGTCGTCCTGGGAAAAACCAAAGCCACGCGATGTGTACGAGGCATAAGAAGCGAAACGAGTAATTTTTATCGCAAGCACGAACTACGTGCGCCTGTACAGTGACCGTAGTGAGGAATCGTGGATTCCGGGCTCGTACGACTCCGCGATTGAGATTCAATGCGAACCATTTAGAAACGTTTTACAGTTATTACCGTCGATATGTAACGCCTGTTTCCTCGTTGCTTGTCTCCTCTTTCACGGTCTCGACATTTTCGGGCTCGACACGTTCACTGCCGGATGAAAACTGTACAATATTCTGCAAGATTAACATTTTGATTTTAAACCATCGTAAGCTACATAACCTAAAATTTGTTTCACTACTTACTTTCGTAACCTCGTAAGCTACATAACCTAAAATTTGTTTCAGTACTTATCTTCGTAACATTGTTAAAATTCACAAACTATTCAAATCCATTTCCCTCTTAACTTGAGAATTAATATTTCAAGTATCATAATGGGTAAATCCTGTCACCAATATATGGTAAAATAACACTCTTATTTCAGACCATCGTAAGCTACATAACCTAAAATTTGTTTCTCTATTTATTTTCGTAACCTTGCTAAAATTTTGATTTTACGCCATTGTAAGCTACATAACCTAAAATTTGTTTCGTTACTTATTTTCGTAACCTCGTTAAAATTCACAAATTCCATCCAAATTTATTTCCCTCTGCGTCTTAACTTGAGTATTAATTTTTTCAGTGTCATAGTGATAAATCCTGTCACCCACATATGGGTGACGTGGCAGTGAATGTGTTAAAAGCGACAGAAGCGATACGTGGTCGCTGCGTTCACCTGTCGCGTGCTTCGCTACACCTGCTAAGTGACTTTCCATTACGTCCACGCCATCTGCCTTTTCAAGTTTCGCTGCCCGATTGGCAGATGCGACAAGTTAACCGGTTAAAAATGTTCGTGCGACTGTCTAGCCGCGTTGGTTGCGGGCTCTAGGTTGCTCGAACAGGGCAGATGGTTCGAATTTGAACGAAACACGTTCGAATAATTTCAATCTTACTTCGTCTTTGTTAAAACTTTTTTATTAGGTTTTTATTATTTTAGGCGACAAGCAAATTACTTTGTTCCTGTTACCAACGGCTCACGCTTTACTTCGAGAGCATTCCTCGCGACGCGATGCATATTTATATGCATACATACAAGCATACATACATACATACATACATGCATACATACATACATACATACATACATACATACATACATACATACATACATACATGCATACATGCATGCATACATACATACATACATACATACATGCATGCATACATACATACATACATACATACATACATACATACATACATACATACATACATACATACATACATACATACATACATACATACATACATACACATACATACATACATACATACATACATACATACATACATACATACATACATACATACATACATACATACATACATACATACATACATACATACATACATACATACATACATACATACATACATACATAC